TTAGCGCTTCTTGAGTAAAGGTTGACCGCCGGTTAACGTTGCAAAGGGGTGTTCTGCTAATAAAATAGACCGACCGATAATCGTACTCATGACAGCAGGGACAAGGAGATATAGTGGTCAGTTGATCATTCTAAGGAGGTGTAATATAACACATTTCGGCTGTACTTCTAAAACTGTAGGTATGAGTTGACCCAGAGTGAGATTGCCAGGTTTATTCTACGGGCCCCTGGGACATCAATCTTTGAACTGAGGCTAAACCTCTCGCAGTGAATACAGGGACTGATGTGACAGGGGCTCTGTTCTTGGTCAAAATCTGTCAGGCTCCCCTGATAATCTCAGACTATCAGGCTTCCTCAGTGGACACAGTCTTCAATTAAGCTTCCTGCCACTTACTGCCTTCAGATGGAGACAGAGAAGTCCACTGCAACCATCACTCCTCCAGAAAAAATCACACACACGCAAATTACATGCTCCATGGACGGCTCAGTTGACCCCGACCCCTCAGTTGAAGCCCGGCTCCAAAGGATACAAAACTTGCCGCCCAGGTGTGACAGAGCTTCAGCATTACAAGTAAAGGATGCTGCTGTTTATCGTCACCGAGAGGGAACGCCTTATTGTGCATGCCGACCTTTAAAAAGGCTGGGCAGCTTCTGCCCCATGTAGGTCAGGGGAGAAGTCATTCTATTTTTTTCGCCCTTAGAAAGAGATTTCCGACAAACTTGCGGAATATATCAAGGAGAACCCCTGAACTAGGGTGGTCATACCTCCAAACCGTGTGTTCATAAGGCTTAAGACTGATGAGCATACACCTTCTGGGTAGCCATAAGAGCATCTATATGATTTGATAGTTTGGTAATTCAAAAAAGGCCATTTAGTAAATGTAAGACTTAGTCTTAGTTTGGATATTTATTACAAGTTTAAGAGTTTCACCAGTGAATTATCTTTTACATAACATAGATGATATAGTAATACAACGGCAATCATTCACAGATAATATAACTGACCCGTAAGATTATATACTGGTATCTGATCACATGACTGAATGAATTTTAATGCTGATGGTCTCACAGGATTATGAATAGGACAGCTAGAGCCTACAAAGAGATGGTTCTCGCGAACGCGATTTTAAGCACTGTGAAAGAGCACCGTCAGACCATCTAGCAGTGTTGCTTGCGGGCACCAGGTTTCGTGTGGGGCTACAGTACAGGTATTGAGGTTATATATTTCGTATATCTAGTGTTTGAGCCACTGGTGCTTTCTAGGCTGATTTAATGCGGTCATTTTAACAAGTCAAGATGAGGCTGCCGTTGTGCTCTGCAATATCGTTGAAGGGAGTACTCGTAGATCAGGTACCCTTTCTTAAACAGGACTATCCATCAGCAAAGCCAGAGTTGTCGCGTAATTTATGGAAGCAAGAGCGCCTCCGGGAATTCCCTAGATGAGTTATCTCTGAAGTAGCTTCAAGAGGCTGGCCCATAATAGGTGCAGGTGAAGGTAACCTTCGTAAAGTTCACTGAATTCCGGAGACGAGCCTTTCGTTCTTATGACAGACAACTCCATATTACTTCACTTTGACCTTTTTTTTAATATATCACATTTTTTGGCATATTTCACTTAATATCATTGTTTTCTCGATCTTATTAGCGAAGTTGGAACTCAGGTAACCAAGGCTTCCTAAATAATGCATTGCAACAGACCAGCAACCATGGCGCTGCCTCTCAAAATGCGTTCCTTGCCCTTTCACCTTTATGAGTTCCGCAAAGTTCGCGTTTGAGTTTTGAAATATTTTCTTGTGAGATATTACCAACCAATCTTAAAGTATACAAGTTGTGTGTGAGGTTTATTAATCACTGAATAACAGTGATCAGGCTTCCCGTACTCTAGAGATAAAACATCACCTGTTTTTGTCTACACTAGAATTAGATGGAGAAGGATTATATAACGTTATCTATAAGAGCATGTAGGTTGGTTTTATAATTATGTAGCGCCTGGTTTCTATTTCTGCAATGCACTCGGTGTTATTGGTCTCAGTCCGCTTCCCACTACTTCATTATTCGCCTATTCGTGTACTCTAAACACACTTCCACGAAAATAGGCAGGCGGTATCAGTGTCCACCATTCTGCCGCCTCCTCTGCGAGTGTGAAGGCGAGCTGATGCATAATGAACCCTGTCCTTTGGGGCACATATGTCCATGAATTTATTGCCTTTCCCTCCCATCTACGTCAAAACGTCTTCTCCATTTTCAGTTAATTCTCTTCGCTCGTTTCATTCCCTTTCTAATCATCTTCTTTAACCATTTGAATATATCTGAAGTGTTGTTTCCTGGCGGCATGGCTTACCGTCTGGCTGCTTGTCTGTCTTTTCGTTTGCTGTTTCTTCCCTTTTCGTCTTCCCTTCTCTTTCCCTCCATTTCGTCAACACACACACACGCGCACACCCACACACACACACACACACACACATACATATATATATAACACACACACACACACACACACACACACACACACACACACACACACACACACACACACACACACACACACACACACACGTACGCACGCACACACCATACACACTCACACACACACACACACACACACACACACACTCTCTCTCTCTCTCTCTCTCTCTCTCTCTCTCTCTCTCTCTCTCTCTCTCTCTCTCTCTCTCTCTCTCTCTCTCTCTCTCTCTCTCCAAAGTTT